GAGTGCGGTACATGGATTTTGGCGCGCAAGAAACACTTGAATCCATTCAATGCATCGTGCTTGATATTGATGCTTGACTGTCTACTGTGTTCGAACTGTACGAGTTTACTTCTATTTTGTGAGATTAACTATTTCATTATGAATATTAGAGCTAATACTTCTAAACAAATATCACGTGCTCGAAGATATAATTCAACAGAATCACAAGCGATATTAGCAGAATCTTGTAGTCACGAAGGTGAGTTTGTTGCTTCTGATAATGAACACTATTATATTACTTTGATTGAAAAGGGTGGATTGGAAATTTCGGATGTTAAGCCAGAAGCTGAAGTCGAAAATGGTGGCCTTTAGAACTATTTTTCAATATCATTTACATTGCTGCTTTGGCAGCATATATCATTTACATGGAGCATTACCCACAATTTATCTCGAGTGACAGACGTAGAAAGATTTTGAAATCATTGAGTGTATAACTGTGTGGCAAAAATATATAAGAAAGATCCAAAAATTCTGTTGTGACAAATAAATTACCTGTGAGATCTGCAATGCAGGACGTGCTGGGCCAAGAACTAAGGTTTTCGATACCGTCTAGATCTACAACTTCTATAAGTCAGACTGGACGAGATTCTACAGGGCGTGATGCAGTCGTCGAAAGTTGCTACATATGCAGAGAACTCAAACGCAAACAAAGAAAAACTTGAAAAGCTTGCACTAACTGTAGAAAACTAGTTTGTGACGAACATGCAGTAACTTGTCCAACATGTGATACCTGCTTCGATAGCTGTACTGATTCTGCATAAACAAAGAATTTGTATTTTTATACAAATAACACATCCTAACCAATCATAAACAACATTATTTATGTACGAAATTATAAATACTTTTTTAATTGTCATACATGACACAAAGAGGTACCCGGGTACCTTGTCACTCTATTGTGAGTTTAAAATATGTTTTGGCCTCCACAAAACATGGTAAATAGTTGACTGGGTCAAAACATTAAAAAATATATAACTTATA